ACTGAGTAAGCTAAGTCCTCAGTGTGCCATTATCATTGCAGTTTGTAGAGCTGAAGTGTGCTTTCATATCTGCCTGTTTCCTCCGTTCGTCCAGTAATTTTAGTATGTTAGATCTGATAAAATCAACTGTAAGTTTTCTCTAAAACATTGGCATTTCTATCAAATATGTTTTAATTGGAGATGAAATTTTATTTTCTGTAGGAATTAAATTTTATAAATTAGTTTGAGTGATACTAAAAAATATAAAATCTTATGCTTTTGATAGTGTTTTAGATAAGAAATATGCTGGAACTCAGTTGGTTTAAATTTTGTGATCATAGATTGTAAATCATACCTTTACAATGACTTTCTTCTTTTGCAACTTGCAAAACAGCACTTTATAGTATTCTGCAGTGTTCTGTGTATGTGTCTGTGCTCATGTGCTTAACAGTAAAGCTTTTCTGTTAAGTGCTATTTTTAAAAATACACGTTTCCGACTTTGGCTTACAGTAAAAATAGCTTATCCCAGGCTTTTCTAGACTTACATTATAGCACTAATAAGGTTTGGAATTTAGTGAAAAACAGAATTCACATAATTCTGCCCTTTTTCCCCTTTGTTTTGAACTTATTAGAGAAAAGATAGGTAGGTACTATTGTGTTTCTATTACTACATTACAAATTATCTAGAATGTAGTAGCTTAAAAATCATGTTGTTACTGTCTGGGTTAGGAATCTAGGAGTAGGAAAAGTTCTCTACCTGAACCTTTCTCTCAGTCTTCACAGTCATTTCTAAGGATTTAACTGAGGAAGGTTAGTCTCTAAACTCACTCGATAAAAGTCAGCTTTCTTGTTTTAAAAGATTTATTTATTTTCATTTTATGTGTATGTGACATGCATACTTGGTTACCTGTTGAGATCAGAATAGAGTGTCAGGTCCCCTGGAAGGGGAATTACAGTGTTTCTGCATATCCCCGTGGTGAGTGCAGGGAGCTAAACCCAAAGACTAGCCACAGGAAGTCCTCTGTTTCCATCCCTTTCTTCTTTTTCTAGGTTGTGGGCTGAAAGGACTTGAGGTCCTCACTGGCTGTGGTTTTTCCCAACATCTAAGGTAGCCATTGGAAGACTGCCAGCAAAGTAGAAATCACTGTCTTTTGTAGCCCAGTCTTGGAAGTGGCCTTACTATTTTTGCTGGTTTTGTCTTGCATATGCCATACAATAGCTGTGATGTCCTGCTCACTTAAAAGATGATTCAAATACCAGAAGTATGCAAAGGCATTTGTACCAGGACGAAGGAATTATAGAACCATGTCAGAAGCTCCCTAGCATGGTTCTACAAATCACTGATGAAAATAAGTTTATTTAAAGATAATTTTTGGTGTTTTGTTTTGCTTTGTTTTTTTGTGTCTTGAATATTTACAGAAATTCCTGGTACAGGTAACTTTTTGTTGTTTTTTAAATATTTATCAGGAATACAGCCTTTCTGTTTCTTTGCCTCAGTCCCCAGGTGGTAAGATTTTAGCCTCCCCCACTTTTTTTTTCCCCCTTGAGAAAAAAGTTTCTGTATGTAGCCCTGGTTGTCCTGGAACTAGTTTTGTAGACCAGGCTGGCCTCGAACTCACAAAGATCCTCTTATGTCTGCTGGAATTAAAGGCGTGCGCCACCCCCTTTACATTTAGGAATAATCATGACATACAGAAAAAGGTAAACGTTTTGTCTGTCTGTCTGTTTCTGTTCATCCTCCCACCCCCTCTGAGTGTCTAACAGTAGTATATATTGTTGATGTGTTTTGGTCTTAGGAAAATATGCCTTTGCTTTATAAAAATTTAAAGTTGGTTTTACTTTTCAACTGTATTACTGAGTCTCTTAAAGATAAGGTTAGAAGTGTGGGTTATAATCCAGTGTTCTCAGTGTGATCCCAGGCTAACAACTTCATCTCCTGAGGATTTCTTGGCAATACAGATATGTTTTTATATTATGTTAGACATTTTGAATGAGAATCTCTAGAATGTCCCAGCAGTCTGTGCTCACAAACTCCAGGTGGTTCTGATGCAGGGAAGTGCGTGAATGTGAATGGATAATTACTTTGCTGAAGCTTATATTATCACTAGGGAAGGCTTTCCAGACAAATAATCATTTTTGTAGATAAATAAAATAAGGCCAGAAGTGGTGGTACAGGCCTTTAACCACAGAGCTCGGAAGGCAGATGCAGGTAGACGTCTCTGAGTTCAAGGCCAGAATGTTTATCTAGAGAGTTTTAGACTAGCCAAGGCTACATAATGAGACCTTGTCTCAGAGCAAAACAAAAACATACATACATACATACATACATACGTACATGCAATTATACATACATATACAAACATGTATACACAGACATATATAAAAGAAGCAAAGCACTTGATTTGTATGTTTGAGTCTATTGGAGTTGTCCAAGGGAGGAAAAAGTGGATTTGGGGAATGAATTTTCCATTCCTTACATTCTTGTTTTGTTTTGTTTCTTTAATAAGTGTTAAATATTGGAAGATTTTAAGTGAAAATGGTTTTCCGTTATATCACTTGCTAAACTTCCTTAGTTGTTTGAAAATGTTTCTGGGAAGTGTCAAGGAATTGGTTGTGTGTTTCATCGGCTTCATAGTCCTTTCCGTGACCAAGTGTTTACACTGAAGCAGAATCTTAGGAAGTAAGTCTCACTGGAAGAGCCCTTTCTAGCGTGAAGTTTTCTGTTGTACAGTCACCAACTGGAAAGACAACTGTATCTGATGTTTTTTCTTTTACTCTATTCTTAGTTGATTTTGATACTACTATATAGTAAGATTAAAGTTAAAGGCAGATAATAATTGTTTTAGTTAGGATATCTAATGCTGTGATAAAACACTATGAGCAAAACCAGCTTTGGGAGGAAGGGTTTTATTTTTGTTTGACTTACTCTTCCACATCATAGTCTATCTTCAAAGGAACTCAAGGCAGGAACAAGGAGGCAGGAACTGAAGCCAAGTTTTTGCTGCTTACTGGCTTCTTCCTCCTGGTTTGCTCAGCTTGCTTTCTGATACAACTCAGGGTGTCAGGGTTGGGCCCACCCACAGTAAGCTGCGTCCTCCCACATCAATCATTCTTTAAGAAAATGTTGGACAGACTTGCCTATGGAATAGTCTTATGGAGACATTTTCTGAGTTGATAGTCCCTTTTCCCAAATGATACCAGCTTGTATCAAATTGACACAAAACTAACCAACAGGGGCTGGAGAGATGGCTCAGTGGTTAAGAGTATTGCCTGCTCTTCCAAAGGTCCTGAGTTCAATTCCCGGCAACCACATGGTGGCTCACAACCATCTGTAATGAGGTCTGGTGCCCTCTTCTGGCCTGCAGACATACACATGGACAGAATATTGTATACATAATAAATAAATATTAAAAAAAAACTAACCAACAGAGTAATTTTATTGCTCTTAGAGGAATTAACTTGGTCATATGCCTTCGGTATTTGTTTTCAGTTTACATACTTTTGAGGACTAAGTTTTGAAGTAATTGTGCCATTTTTGCACTAATTCTCATTGTAGTAAGTGTAGCTGAGTAGCACTTGTTATTCATAAATGCACTTAGATCGCATTACTAGAATGAAAGTATCACAGAGTGGGAACTGATCTAGTAGTAGTCTTACACATTAAAAACATTATTAAATGTGAAACAGTCGGTAGTATATATAAAAACATACTGTTCCTGCCTGCCTTCCCTCATTTAGCTTTGCAGTTGGGATTCTTGGTTAGAGCTATCTGCTAGACATCAGTGGATATGAGAGGCATCAGACCAAAACCTTGGGAAAGCTGAAAATGGGATTGCCTGTGTTAGTTTGGTAGGTTGGGAATGCCATGGCTGACTTACGTACTTTTTCACTCTTGCTGGTTTTATAGCCTTTTATTTCATGGGATTAAATCAGGTACTTGGGTCTGTGTTTTACGGCCAAATGCTGTCTTAAGTTCTTATTCATGACAGCCTTCTTCCAGTAAAACATGTCGGTCAGAACATTTTACAGTCAGCCTGCTGCAGCTTTCCATGGTCACGAAACACCTGAAAGTGCTTCTGTTCACTTGTCTGCAGTTAGTAAGTGGATTTGTTCCCCTCCTTTGAGCTAATTTTGATATAGTTTTAAAGATAAGATTTAATAAACTGTTTGAACAATTGAATTTATTGATAATATAAAACTTTTAATAAAAAAGCTGAATTTTTTCCTTACTTGTGAGGCCATTTTTTTTTTTTAACTAAAGGTAGTTCCAGTTTTCATGTTATACATTGGCTTTCAGGTATTTCTTAAATTTAAAATTAGGATTTACTTTTAGTTGCTTAGTACTTAACAGGGACATTTCACCAGTATAAATTTAGAATGTTCATGTATAGTTTATTTCTTAGAGGCTATGTGTTACAAAGAATTGAGTGACACTCCAGTATTGCTTTGCTAACACCTATAGAAGGCAATTATGTGTTTTTGTTCATGTGGGTGTGGGTGTATGCATGTGTTCATATGTAAGTTTCTTATGCCTTCTTTTCCGCTTCTTCAAATCAAAGAGTATTGACTATTGACTCCTGGCAACCGCAGCAAAGCAATCTTCACACTTGAGTGGCCCACACTGGCCTCACCGTAATCTTTACCTACATGTAGTATTTACATTAAAGTGTTAAACTAACAAAATTGGTTTCTGATGACCAAATTTAGTGAGTTTTTCCACATTACGGAGTTTGATATTTTGTGTCACATGTGTGCTTTTTAAGTGATGTGCCATTTAACTTCATTTGTGATTCCAGCTAGTGGGGCAATCTTGTTATGAAGTTGGTAGACTGGTTTTTCATCAGGGAAGTTGGATGCTGTACTTGAATCGTTGGTCTGCAAGAAAACAGAGCGCTTCTCTTGAGTGCTAAGCCAGGGTGCCGAGACAGGGGTTTTATTTCAAAGTTGTTTGGTGATGGCATAAAAACATACCAGGTTCTGAAATCCAGTTACTATATTAAATTTCATCACTTGTTTTTTAGGTATTCCAATAACTGTACCACCTCCAGGTAAAACTTTTTTCATGTTTTCTCCATCATTGTTAATGAACATGAAATTTCAAGCTTATCGTTACAGGAGGGACGGTGTTGATGCGGTTAGAATGTGCACTAGGCCACTGGGATTTCAAGGTCCTATTTTCAGCTCTGCCTGTGCTTCATTCCAGTTTTAAGATGTTTAGTTTTCTTAGGCCTATCTTACCCATTTCTGTAGAAATAGATATTCTCACCTTATCAATTTATGTGGAAAATAATAGAAGATATAAAATAAAATCACTCTTTGAAATGCTTTTTAGACCAATGATTTTGGTGTGTAAAAGTGACTCAGAGAAAAGAAAAATAATTTATCTTGACTTTATCACGACTTCTAATTGTTTACCCATTGTCATAATTCATTGTCATGAGAAAATATTTTCTGAACTACAAAGCAATTGTGTGGCTTAATAACTAGTCAAGTACTTGTTCTTAGAGGTATTCAGTTGGGCATTGCAGTAGTGCAGTCAGTAGGAGTGTTTCTGTAACCAGTGCTGTCTTTATATATTTGTCAATGGTTTTTTATTGTGTAATGGTGACGCCAGTAGAAAGTATATTTACTAAGTTCAGTGTTAAAAACCAAGGGCTGTGAAGAAAATGACTAGTGCTGATGCTGAGAAGAGAGGTCTAATTCCAGACGACCTGGGGGAGTAGAGGGAAGTTGAGAATGCGCAGTTTAGTGTGCGTGCTCAGCTAGGAGTACAGTCACTGGCTGAGACAGGGCTGGCCAGGGAAAGTCTTAAGGGATTGTTTTGTCTTTTTAGTGTGAAATACAGTATGACTGAGAACCTGTGTCATGTGAGACATGGACTTGAGGACTACTGTGGTAGTTGCTAACCTTGGGCCTGCTTGATGGTGGTAGAAGAGTTACAGATGCTAAAACTGGACAGACTGACAAGCATAATGAACTTGAAATAGTTGGAAGCAGGGCTAAAGACTGAGTAAATGAAGTTTTGAGAAGAACGAGCACTGGAATTTCTGTCCCAGAGGACATTGGAAAGGAACCTTAGTGGAAAGTAGCCAGGAAGTAGAAGACAATGGGGGTGTAGCAGTGGACTGATCTCCGTCAGTACGTGAACCACAGGGCAAAGGATTGAAACTGTTGAATTTGATGCATGTCCCAATATTGGAGGTTGTTAACCTGGGGGGAAATAGGTATCAGCAGTTGTGGAACTGCAAGTTGTGTAACTATGACACTGTTAGGGTCTGGCTGTAGAAGTCTAGAGGAGACTGCTGCTGAGGACCCTTTAGCTGTGCTATTCTATGGGATTTCATTTAGCTGTGCGAGTGGCTGAGAGTGCTGACCTCACAATACAAAGTTGCAAATGATTTGCCTCAAGACCAATTCAAAAATTCCATTATGTGCCTTGCTTTGTAAAGTAGTTCATTGGGGTTGTGTTATTTAAAATATTTCATGGCAGATGTTTTTGCTATGAACACATATATTTACTGGTTAGGCTTTGCTTATAAATTATCCACTTTAAAGAAATTTCTATAAATCTGAAACTCAGACTATTTTTAAATGACGTCAGTGCTATTTTATTTGTGTTTCTTCAAAACATAATCTGATGGCAAAACTACTACTGTTTTTTTATGTGGAAAAGGTAAGGCATTGAGACTAACTTTCTTATATGCACAAAATGGGCTGTGTGTGGTGCTGAAAATAAGACCAGGTGTCTTGACAATTTGTGCTCTGTGTGTTAGATCAGACTGTTAATTAACAATGTTATTGCGCTAAAAAACTCTTTATAAGTTTCAGCTCTATTTTTTCCTGTTCATAATCATGTAGAGAAGCACGTTTGTGTCCCCAGAAAATCTTAGTGATACTCAGCAACTGTGTTTCACTCTTGACGTTGCATATGCATCCTGTTAATTATCTTATCTCCTGGTTGAATGTTTCAGGTTTCCCTCCTCCACCAGGCGCTCCACCTCCATCTCTTATACCAACAATAGAAAGGTAAAGCAGTGCGGATGATCATTGACAGCCTTACAACAGAACCTTACACATGTGTCTTTTCTAATACTTTCTAATGTTAATTTTTATAGACGTAGCACCTGCCTGTTAATTCATAAGTTTAATCTGTATTAAGTACTTTTATGTAACTATAGCCTGTTACCAAAACAGGGCAAAGAAAGTCTTCAAGAAATAAAAATAGTTTGTTAGAAATCTTTAATACTGAGTTTGTATCTGCTGGAAAGGGAAATGAACCTTAGTAAGAATGAAATGCTGTTTTCTTCTGTTGCGCTGCTGCATCTTCACCTCCACACAGAAGGACCAGATCCATCCTCTAAGGCAGTGGCTTTATTTTCTCCCGTCTTATATTTAATCTTCTTAGTCTCCTATATTGAAGACTTGGTGGTAGGATGTGTTTAAACAATCAGTGTTGCTAGCTTACGGTCTCTAGACTCAGTTCTGAAGATTAGAACAGCACATGTTCTGGCAGGCGGAACTCACTAGGAAACAGGAGCTATTCTAGTACTTGACTCAAAGTGAAGATACTCTAAAAACTAATAGTCAAATTATGTAAAAGCAGGACAGTTGGTCTCATGAGTGGCATCAAAGCATCCCAGTGGTTTCAAAGTGCCACTCCAGAAAGCAAATTGTGAAAGGTGAGGATTTTCTTTTCTTTTTTTCTTTTTTAAATAATTTTATTTTATTTTATGTACATTGGTGTGAGGGTGTCAGATCCTCTGGAACTGGAGTTACACACTGTTGTGAGCTGCCATGTGGGTGCTGGGAATTAAACGTGGGTCCTTGAAATAGCAGCCAGTGCTCTTAACAGCTGAGCCATCTCTCCAGCCCCAGGATTTGGTTAAGTTCTTGTTGAACACATACTTGTTTCTCAATCAAAATGACCATTTAAAATACTATCGATTGGTTTATAACCAACTTATAGGCATTAAAACTAATTTTTTTAAGATTAAGTTTTAAACCTCAAACATTCTGTTAACCTCAAACTTTCCCTCTATCTTACTGAGAAAGCTGAAATTGATTGTATAGTTATACTAAGTAGTACCAAGTAACTTCTGGGTCCTTGATGTTTTGAGGTGAAAAAGTCTATGTTGTCATATTAAGAAATATCAAGACTCTGTAGCAGATTGTTTAAAGGTTAAATTTTGTTGTTTTGCTGTCTTCGTTTTATTGAACTATTAAGATTGAGTACTTAATTGCATCAGATATAAAGATACTTCTTTCCTCCACAGTGGCCATTCCTCTGGTTATGACAGCCGTTCTGCGCGGGCGTTTCCATACGGCAATGGTAAGTTACTCACCACTCAGATCCACTGGGAATCAGTAAAGTACATATTGGTAAAGAAATGGAAACATGTTTACAGAGTAAGAAGTATTAGTTGAAGGAGTTAAGTCTGTATATATGCCAGATTACTCTTGAGCACAGGTTGCAGATATGAAAACAACATGAATTGCACCCCACATTTCCATCTGTGCTCTTGAGTGACTGGATGCATTTTCATTGAGCAGAAGTATTTTTCAAGGAGGTTGGTTTTTGTTTTTGTTTTTCTTTCTGAGTAGTCGGTCTTGGTAGTGGACTTAAAATAATTAGCTAGGTTGTGGACAGTGTGCTGCCACCCGGGCCTTACTGCATTCTCAGAGCACTGGAGAGCTCTAGAACTTGGTGAATGGGAAATGGACATTGAATTCAACGTAAAGTTACAGACTACTATAGCCTTTGCAGCTAGTCTTTGATTTGTCTTTGGCTGTAAAAGCTCTAAATGGTATCTTCTAGAGAAGACTGCTCTATACTGAAAGTTTTTTTGGTTAGTGCAGCCAGCATTCATTGGCTCTCTTAGCCTTGTAGACAGCTTGCTGCAGCTTCTGTCTGTACCTTGCATTAAACTTTGTTGAGATCAATCTTTAGCATCACAACCCTGTTTTTGTTGTCTTCAAATTGATGTTTACTTTCTTACCTTGCCCAGTTTTCGTAGAATTGAAGAGAGTTAAAATTTCACTGTTGCTTGGTACATGGGTTGCTCTATCATCTAAGATTGACACAAACTTTCAATTTATTTAAAAAAAAAGCAGCATTGTTTGAAGCTCAGTAAAACCAAATGTACCTCTGTGTAGTGTTATGGAGTATGAGTGTTTGCCACAAGGCTATGAGACTTCTGTTAATTTTATGCAGTTTTAAAGTTGCTAGATTTACATTTGAAAATGCCTCCTTCTGCCTATTTATTGTGAGGAAATTATGGACTTCCAGGGTCACAAGAAAGGATAGTTATTCGGCCTTCTTGGACTGGGGAACAAGTAGAAGCTGTTGAGCATGTAGATGGGTGGGAAAAACGAAGCCGTACACAGTTCTTAGGTGAAGCACCCTCCCAAAGGCAGATAGGAAGAGAAAATCATACTCTTTATCTTGTATCGCTTGTGTAGCACAAAAGAAACAGAGGCGTAGAAGAGTCTGGCTTATATGGCACCTGTAACAAAGACAATAAATGAGAGACCCCAAACTGCCCAATGTCCATCAGTCCTGCAAGCTTCAGACAACATCGGAGAAGATAGGGTGGAATGTTGTAAAGCAGTGTCTGTCTTCCATATATTACAGCCATTACACTCTTACATGAACTCAGCAACTGTGGTGCCTGTAATGACCTCAGGATATGTATGTAGCCAGTAATGGTGGCTCAGAGAGGGAGAGGCATTTTCTTCTGTGGCATTTATAGCCATTGGTGAATTGTCCACTTACTTGCCTCTGGCCTATAAATAATCCCCATCCATGCTCCTGTAAGTGACCCTTTAATTAGGGTTCACCCACTAGCTAACAGACTGACTTCCATGATGAATGCTTGGCCAGCATGGATGAGGACCTGATGTGGATTCCCCTCTGTATGCTATGAATATGTTTTATTGCCATTGGTTAATAAAGAGACTGCTTTCGGCCAGTGGCTTAACAAGAGTATAGCCAGTCTGGAAAAGATACACAGTGAGGGTAGGCAGAGTCAGAGAGACGCCTTGTAGCCGCCAGAGGAGACAGACGTGAGCCACCTGCTGGAACCTTGCCGGTAAACCATGAGCCTTGTGGTTTAAAATACGAAATAATAAAAATAGGTTAATTTAACAGCTAGCTAGAAATACACTTAAACTATTGGCCAAACAGTATTGCAAATAATATAATTTCTGTGTGATTATTTCGGGTATGGGTGGCTGGGAACGAACGAGCAGCCTCAGTCAACAAGGACCTGGGTTCAATCCCTACTACTGAAAGGATAATGAAATAAAGTCATTAGTTAATAAAGGAGCTAGTGGTAGATCTCCAAACTAATAGTCTCCAGTAATCAGTTTTCATTCTTTCTAGTAAAGAGAACAAGAGATATACCTGAACTTTTGTGGATTTGATTTCTGGCCTGTGGGCAAATGCAAGGCAACGGAGAGCTTTTTCTTAGCTATGTGGCTTCTTGGTTGCCTGTACCTTGGCGTCATCCTGACCAGTGTTTCAGAGTAGCATGTTGTTATCGGTCTCTCCTATGGAAGTAATCTAGAGGTAGACATTATGATGCCTATTCTCTTTCCTCCATTTAAGGTAGAAGAAATTTTAATGGCTTTCAAAGGTATTTCTGTGCTAGAATCTATGTCCTGAGACTATGCTTCTGGACCTTTAACAAGCTCTTACAGGGTGTGTTAGATCCAAATTTTATTAGCTACTCTTGTTTCTCAGACCCCCAAGGGTAGTGCATGTCTGTGTTCTTCTAGTCACATTGTTTGGGATCTTGCTTTGCCCTCTCTATAGTCATAAGCCCTTCAGAGGTCTTCAGAACTTAAACTGACAAAAGTAAAGCATTCCCCTAAGGCTGTGGGATTACCTTGAAGCTCCTTGCCCTGTTCTTTACCAAGTGTCCCAGTGTTAGCTCTCATTTTTATAATCACCACCATCTCCAGCAGGTTACAAGTGCCCTCCCTTTTCTCTACCACTGAAGCAGTAAGAATTGTTGAAGCATAGGCTCTATGGCTTGCCTTGGGTTCGGCTTATTTTAGGTAACCTTAGATGAATTAAACCTAAATCTTTTCCTTATGTAAACGCAGCTGGCAGTCAGATTTAGCATGATACTGCTAATATGTAAGCATTTGATAAGCATTGATAAGCATTTGATAAGCATTGAGTTCCTTTGGTTTTACCTTTTTTTTTTTTTAAATGGCGTTGGGTGTTTTTTGTCACTCTGTCCCCTATGTGTTTGCTTCAGTACAGATTAAACACTAGACCATATCTGAAAGTCCTTTTTGAGATTACTGACCTAGCCTGTAGAACATTTTTATATATTTCTGTTGTAAGGAAGCAAGCGCCTCCTCTATACTTTCTACCTTGCTCAGCTCTCCTCCCAGAGAAAAGCCTTTAATTAGAAAGCCAACTGTAAAACTTAGTAAAGGAGAGGAAGAGGTTTCCCTTAGCCACACGATGAAGCTTTACAGTAAAGACAACAAATAAGACTTCTTTGCGGTTCTCTTTTACCTCTATTTTTTTACTTTAGAATTTATAATTCATTCTTATACCCCTGAACAACATAACTTTTCTAGATGTGATTTGAAGACTCCTTATGAAGTGAGACTTAGTTCAAAAGTCTTAATATTACAGGACTACTAAGAGACAAGTGTTTCTTATCTTTTTTTTTAATTTTGGCTCACAGATTTAGAGGTTCCCATCCATAACTTAGACAAATTCATGACTCTTAATTAAGCCTTGTGTGAATTGTGTAATGAATCAAATGATTAGCCTGATGAGGAGGACAGAGATGAGTGAAAGTAGAAGACGTATGACCCACAATCCTCCTGCAGAACATGCTCCTTACGACCTAAAAAAATGTGTAAACTTTATTTTGTGAGTATGGGTGTTTTGCCTGCAAGTTTGTCTGTACCATGAGCATCCTTGGTGCCTGTGTAAACCAGAAGAGGAATCGGATTCCCAGGCACTGGAGTGTAGATGGTTGGGAGTTGCCATGCAGTTGCTGGGAATCAAACTTGGGTCCTCTGGAAGAGCCAGTGCTCTTATCCCTTCAACTTCAGGAAACCATCCCCTTCCCCCACCCCCACCCCACCCCTGCAATCCTTTCCCATGTGTTTTTATGTCATGTGTTCAGACTTTTACAAAAGACTTAAGTATATGGATGCTTATATGTATATCTACGTGGCAGTGCACCCATGGATATCAGAAGGGGGCATCCTGGAACTGGAGTGATAGTTATGAGATACCATGTGGTTGCTGAGAACTGAACCCAGGTCCTCTGGAAGAGCAGCCAGTGCTCTTAACCACTAAACCATCTTTCCAGCCCCCAGAATATAGATTTTTAAAAGTAAAAAGTCTGTCTTGTAACTGATGAAATTAGTGTTGTTTTAAATTATGATTATGGAGATGCTTGATGTATTGCTGCTTCCATCCCATTCCATGATTTCCAGAATCAACTATGATTTACTTGTTTTGTTTTTTGCTGTTGTTTATTCCCATTTTTGTGATGGTTATTTAATAATATTTAAATGATGCATGAACTCTATTCTTAATGCAGAGATGATAATATGTTTTAGTTTTTCTCGTGTAACTTATTGAGGTTCATCATTTTATTCTTAAAAGGAATATATAGTTTATTTGCTCAACTATTTTCATTTTAGGTCTCCTTTTTAAAATAATTTTCCTTCATTGTCTTGGGTAATAGGTTTTGCTTTGCTTTATTTTTTGTTGTTTGTTTATAAATGTCTTTGTTTTATTGTTAAAATGTGTTTTTTGTTGTTCTTGGTTTTTGTAGATGTAGGTATTGAACCCATTGCTTTGGGCATGCTGTAGGCAGGTGTTCACTCAGAGTCTTTAAAACGTAATTTTTTATTTCATTTTCTCCTTAATAGTTCAACGATGTTCTAGTGTCTTTTGGTTTCAACTTTGATATTGGGGAATTTCTTGCCCAGTGAATAGTGTCAGACTAAGTGCCATAACCTCCGATCTTAATGTGTTTTTTTCCTTTAGTTGCCTTCCCCCATCTTACCAGTTCCGCTCCCTCATGGCCTAGCCTTGTGGACACCACCAAGCAGTGGGACTATTATGCACGAAGAGAGAAAGACCGAGATCGAGACCGAGAGAGAGACAGAGACCGAGAGAGAGACAGAGACCGGGACAGAGAAAGAGAGCGCACCCGAGAGAGGGAGCGAGAGCGGGATCACAGTCCCACCCCTAGCGTTTTCAACAGGTGTGTTGCATGTGAGGGTGTTGGACACACTTCATTTATACTTTGCACTTTGATTTGTTGTGAGGAAGTGAATTCCAGTTCATTGGGGAAAGAATGCTCAAGGTGTGGGTAGAAAAGCCCCTTGAAATCATACTCATTTCTTTCTTGAGGCTTCCCATTACCATAAGCAGCACGGAGATTGACGTAACAGTGGAGCCTTGCCAGCTGCTGCAGATGTGGAGATGGAAGAGCCATGCTAGCTGCTGCAGATGTGGCTGTGGTGTCATTTTAAAATTTTTTATTCTCTTAAAATTACTTTTTTTGAAAAAACATCTGTTAACTTTCTTCCTTTTCCTTTCTATGCAGTTGATTTTTAAAAATTCATTCTTTGATTCATGTGATTGGCATTTTGAGCCTTGTTCTAAGCCAGAAACGGTGCTATATCCTGAAGATACATAAATATTCATACATTGTTTTTACAGATTAAACTTAATACTGCTGTTAAGCTGATTAGGACTGGTTTTCTTAGTGAAAGAGTATATGACAAAGAATGGGAAAAGTCAGTTTCCTCATGACTTACACATAGTGCATATTTAATACAATTTTATTGGTCAAATAGGTAAAGAGTGGCAAGGTATGTACATATAAGTGGAACATACACTATTAGCCGTAACAGTTAAGTACATTATTCTGCTTAAGTTCAAGGGCAGTAGTTTTCAGGAAGCTGACTGGTTTCTGCTACATAGCACATCTATAAAATATGCGTGCCATAGTTAAGGAGCTTAGTGCAGAAATGCGTAGGAAGACTATTTTTGCATCACACACACATGTTCAGGGTCTACTGAATTGCTAAACTGGAAAACGTTGATTAAACCATGTTTTCATCTAGTTCTGCTTAAATAGGAATAAAAGCTTAAGGCCAGAAAGGCAAAAGGTAGAGGAATTCTGTGTTCTGAATTGTCCTAGGAAAAACCCAGGGAATATACATGGGAAGTAAAAGCTATTTGTTTCTAAAGACTGACAAAAGTGCTCTAAAACAAAATGTTTATAGTATGTGTTGCATTACAAATTACAGGGTCATTGTTTTGAAAATGAGAGACCAGTTTTCACATCTGTTTTTAAGGCAGTTCAATTGTAGACCAGAAAGAAGGCTGGGTGCTGTAGGCTGTTTGACATGTGCTCTAATGAGTTCCAGGCCTGGAGGAACCTTTGCACTGCACCACCTATCAGAAAGGGGTGGAGGAGGTGCTGTTTTCACTCGGAAACTCGCCGGCAGTCTGTTCTCTTAGGCTCCCGTCATATGACTGCCTATGGAACCTAAAGGCCCCAAGGCCAGCAAGAATTGGCTTTAGGGCAAAGGGGCAAAGGAGGGCTACACATGACAAAACTGTGAAATAATTGGCCTTCATTACTCTTATGTAGTCGTTCAGAGAAACCTCATTTGTTGATGGAATTAATTGTAATGTTCATTTGTCTGTGCTGCTTTGGTTTGCCTTGGAGAGAGATTATTAGAGGCCCAGTACTCTTGGTAGGAAGGTCTCCTCCTGAAAAATTAGGTCCTAAAGTCATTGAAGAATTTCATTTATTATGCTGTGTGTGCACACACACACACTCAGGTCTGAGGACAACTTGGAGTCATTTCAATTATTCTAAAGTATGGAACCTGGGGATCAAACTTAAGCTATCAGACTTAGCAGCAAGTGCCTTTACCCACTGAGCCATCTTCTTAGGCCCCCAAACTCCATTTATTAATTGCCTTCTCTTGATAAATATTATTGTCGGTTTTATAGAAACTTTGAAAAAGATTGTCAGTTATAAATAAGAAAACTGAGGTGTCAGGAATGAGCATTAGAAGTGGCAAAGGCAGAATGTGCTGGGCGCTCATGGATATCCTGGCAGTCTGGACTGCCTATCAATGACATGCTTCTTGGGGAAACACATACGGGGTGTGCCCATACATGTACATATGGATATGTGTACATTAAGACAGGTTTTTATAAAAATGTTTTAAAATCTTCATGTGTGTTATTCTGCACAGGATGAAAGCTACGCTATTTCTTGTAAAAATCAAACACTTGAAAAAATTTGATCTTTCTGCCTTCTCCTGTGGAAGCCATTGTGAACCATACATTCTTAGAATCTTTACCACATGGCCTGTGTTTTGCAAATTAGATTTTCTGTAGATATCTCAGATACATAAATACATTTAATTATAAAATGGGAGTAAAAAGAAAAACCTGCTGATTAAAATTTAAATCAACTGCAGGTCTCATTCTTTTTTTCCCCAGAAAAAAACATTTTAATATGAAACCTGCCATTAAAACTGTGATAGCACAGAGCAGATAGAACAAATGGTCATTTTTTTCTTTTTTCGAGACAGGGTTTCTTTTTCTAATAGTCCTAGCTGTCCTGGAAAAATAGCTCTGTAGACCAGCTGGCCTCGAACTCACAGAGATCCACCTGTCTCTACCTTCCCAAGTGCTGGGATTTAAGGTGTGTGCCACTGCCGCCTGGCTCAAATGGGCATTTTTCTAGTGTGTTGTTTTAAGTGAGATGTGTTTCTGATTTGCTGCTCAGTCTAGGAAATACTTGTTTTCCAACATGAGAAGTAGCCGGGCGGTGGTGGCGCACGCCTTTAATCCCAGCACTCGGGAGGCAGAGGCAGGCGGATCTCTGTGAGTTCGAGACCAGCCTGGTCTACAGAGCTAGTTCCAGGACAGGCTCCAAAGCCACAGAGAAACCCTGTCTCGAAAAAAACAAAACAAAACAACAACATGAGAAGTTAGCGTTCAGGCCTCTGTTAGGCTTCGGAAGCTCTTCCTTTTGCAGTCAACTCAGTTAGTAGTCCTGACATTGTTTCCACTCCATTGCAGTGATGAGGAGCGGTACAGATACAGGGAGTATGCAGAAAGAGGCTATGAGCGCCATAGAGCTAGTCGGGAAAAAGAAGAACGACACAGAGAGCGACGTCACAGAGAGAAAGAGGAAACCAGACACAAGTCCTCTCGCAGGTTTGTTCTTCAGTAGTGACCCACTTTGGTCTGGGGGTGGGGAAGGGCACGGCACGGGTGTCTCTTTAAGAAATGAAAATATTTTCAATAGCCCAGTGATAGATGAGACTGTTCCTAGCTAACAGACCAATAGCAGTCTGTTATAGTTCTTCTTTCTGGGCGTCAGCAGCGATTTTTAAATCTAACAAGGTTGCATTTCTTTATCACTCAGACAAAATTAAAATAAGATATCTTGGTGGTTTTCCCTTTGTTTTATATTATTTCTTTGATAGAGAGGAATTTGGGCATATGAGTCAGTCTTTATAATTAATATTAATGTTTAGTTTACAGAAAAAAATTGGGGCCTGCAGTTCTAAAACAATATTAGAATTGATTTCAATGTTCATTGTATCTGAACATTTCATCTTACAAAATAGTATATCCTGTTTCTTCAGTTTCTAATTCATAAAGACTTTCAGAACAAAGTAATGGGCTAGGAGTCTGGGATAGTGTGGGGGTGAAGATAACTCCATAACAATTGGTGTAAAATCTCATATGACTCTCCAAAATATGTACATCAGAAAACAAATAGGTTTAACCTAAATCCAGGCTTGTTTAGACCAGATTGACTTTGTTACTTAAGCCTTGTTAAACACAATTCCTTTTCTTGTAGTAACAGTAGACGCCGCCATGAAAGTGAAGAAGGGGACAGCCACAGGAGACACAAGCACAAAAAATCTAAAAGAAGCAAAGAAGGAAAAGAGGCTGGGAGTGAGCCCGTCCCTGAACAGGAGAGTGCTGAAGCTGCCCCTGCTGAATAGGCTCCACCTTTTGTGTTTGTCAGTCCCAGAAATAGATGCTATAAATCTCCTTATTTTTCTGGATAATGTTTAAGAAATATACCTTTAATCTTGTTCTGTTAGAATGAAACGTTAATTTTTTCTTTTCCAAAATAAAAATGTGCATTTTTGTGTTAAGTTAAAAATCTTTGTCTTGTAATATTTAAAGAATAAAAGACAGAAATGACTTTATATCCAAGGAAGTCATGTGAATGAGTCAGCAGGGGATTTAGAGCTAAGGTTGGCTGTGTGTACACAGTATGTAGGTCAAGGACTCACCTTGACTAGCTTTCTAGTTACTGGCATCCTGTTGTAGAAGAGGTGCTGCAAAGACCGCTCTTCATCTTACTGCTCCTGCGTCTCAAGAACTTGGGTGCATTCTTCATATCAGTTTTTGAAAGCAGGTTTTCGGTCTTCTAAATTTGGGTCCATGGTAACTAAATGGGCCATTTTATAAAGTCGTAGACGGTAGGAGGCATTTGGGTGGCCCGTGTGATGTAACTTGTGTACTTTCCAACAGGCACATGTGGACGGTTGTGACTAGCACAGCCCTGGACCATTTCATGGCCATCTGTTTGAGCCAGCGTCAAGGTGGTTTGGCTGCTGTCAGCGTGTTTTCCAGGGTTCATTGGTGCAGTAGCCTGTAGGGTGTTTTTTTTATACCATTACCGTGTTAAGACTAAAAGTAAGCTCAATGACAGTAGTGTTAGGTCAGTTATTTCTTAGTAAAATCAAAAATCCAAGCTTAAAATATGGACTTAGCCCAGGAGGGAATGCAGAACAGCAGTGGTGGTGGCTAGGACTTGGTGTGTGAAAGAATAACTTAGAGCTCAGGGAGGAGGACAGCTCTCATTTAGAAAAGATTTATTTCTCATTTCAAATTCTCTGCCATTAAATTTAAATGCCTGTAATGTGCTCTCCTTTTGAACTCCACATATATCATATTTTTAATTGATTTGAATTGTGTCATAGAAACCATTTTAGATTTTTATTGAATAGAAAAATATAAACTTGAGGTTTGTAGTGATGAGATCCTCCGTACTAAATAAAAACATCAGTTTTTATTTTTGAAAACGTTCTCCGAGGTGTAACTTGTTTTCATAATATCATACTTTTCCCGGCATTTTTTTATAATATATTCTTTAAATATAAAAATTGACAAGATAAATACAGTTTTACGAAGCCTATCTGTCATCTTTTTTCTGTTTTCTAAGATCCATCATTGATTTTATAAAAAAGTACCAGGCCAAGAAGCAATAGTGAGAGTAATTCTTCCTTTAAGTTCTTTGAGTGTCCTTGCCAAGCAAGCGTGTATCATTCCTGACGTACTCCTACCGTTGACAGCGAGAAGAATGTCACCACATCTAAAAGAGAAACAGGATCGTGGTCAAAATACTTTATGGTTGAAGTTACTTATAGTGGACTCGGGTGGTCCTAGTGTTTGTTTGCCGGTATTTGTCCATTTTAATTCTAATTAGATCTTTCCCTTCTTCACTTAAATTCTCCAGGCTCCATTCAACTTGCATTAGAGGATATAATAGTACAGGGAATTGCAATATGGGACCAAGGCCAGTTGTAAATTTTTACTTTGAATTTTTTGAGATAGGGTTTCTCTGTGTAACAGCCCTGGTTGACCTGGAACTCGCTTTGTAGACCAGACTGGCCTCGAATTCTCAGAAATCTGCCTGCCTCTGCTTCCCAAGTGCTGGGATTAAAGGCGTGCGCCCACTGCCCAGCACAGTTTTGAATTTCTTGAATCTAACTGGCATAGTCATGTTTTAATTTCTTACTCTTCACGAATGCATAGTGAATACTAATAGTAAATTTAGTAAATAGTGTGCTTTCTTTCCAGTGGGGCCAAGTTTTTACATGTAGAAAACAAAACACTTGAATATTATTTTTGCTAAATAATTATTACCTGATCCTTCCATCATTGTATGCTGGTGTTCCTTCCACAATGGATTTGATAAAAAAAGGTTTGTTCCCATTGTATTCTTCATAACCTCCTACAATGCAGAAGCCCAGACTTCCTGCTGTGTTCCTCCTTAGGGTCACATCTTTACAGTTATATAAGTACCTGAAATAGGATAGAATTAGTGTATACAGTTGAGTTTATTAGTTGTAACTTCATCTCTCATTCATTTTTTGAATATTTTTAATAAGTGAAATAGTACCTGTATATGTCTCCCTCAGAAATGACAGTAATTTTTCATGCTCTTAGCCAGCTTTTGTATTTGATCTCTTTTCCATAGCTGAACACCCTTTCAACAGAAATACTTCGTCATTGTGTCTTTGCTGAGGAAGATAGTTATGTATTGGCCAAGGACACCATAATGCATGGATTTATATGAGCCATAAGTATGCCTCGATACTTCCAATGATAAGCCAAAGTGGAGCATACTGAGGGAATATAATTTTTATATACTTGTGGGTTTACATAATTCCTAAGGCAAACTTTCTTTGAATTAGTTATTTACAATGAAATAATCACAATGAAAATAATTTTAACTTAATGCTAATGAACCTCATTAAGTTTAGAACTTCTCTTGACCCTTGGAAAGTATTGGTTTATTCTCACATAAAGAAGAGTGTAGACATAAAATGAGCAGAAAGTGAGGCAGAAAGGGTTGAACAGTTGTGGTAGGAGTAAAATCAACAAGGCATAAACTGAAGTGGAAATTACAAAGTGAGCTGGAGCAGGGAAGACTACAGCTGGCCTAAGAATCAGTAGAATCTCAACTAGGATAGTTGTGGCTGTTAGAGCCAAGTACAAACTGCTGTGTTAGAGAGGTGTGTCTACCAGATGTGTATGGTCTAGGAACTGCTTTGACTGAAAGATAGCATTTTTATGTTGGTAGAAATGAAGATGTTTTGTTTATAGACTGTACCTTAAAATACTCATTTGCCTTTTGATAATCAATAAAAATGATCTTGTGAAATGTTAAGAAATGAAGTTTGGTCATTATACTGGTTTCTGGCCTACCTCATCATTTAACAACCGTGATGGCTATTTTTGGTTGCAACTTGACTGTATCTGGAATAAACTCAAGTGGCTGGGTATATCTGTCAGGAATTTTTTTTTCTTTAATTAAATCATTTGAAGTGGGAAGATCCATTTTTTTTTTCTTTTTTTGGAGAGAGGGTTTCTCTGTATAATATCTTTGGCTGGAACTTCCTCTGTAGACCAGACTGGCCTTATGCTCACAGAGATCCTCCTGTTTCTGCCTTCCAAGTGTTTGGAAAAAAGGTGTGCACCATCACTGCCCTGCGTGGAAAGACTCACTTTTAATCCATTTTTTGAGGTGGGAAGATCTACCTTTATTTTGGGCCGCACCTTCTGCTGCAGCCTGTATAAAGGACATGGAGGAGGGAAGCTTGCTCTCGCTTTCTCTTGCTGGCACGTCCATTCCTTCACTGACACTAGAGCCCAATTATTTGGGATTGTAGCCTATACTGAAGACCAGCTGAGATACCCAACCTCAGGACTGAGCACCTGCTGTCTTCTTGGACCTTCCATTGGTAGATAGCTTTTGTTGGAGTAGCCATTCCACTAAATCTATATATCTGTATATCACTTCTGTTCACCTAGAGAACTCTGACTAATAGAACCTTTTTCATGCTGTTGCTTTCATTTGAAATAAAACAAGCCCATTTTTGTTTTGTATGCATTAGTATCATGTACAACATTTTCTTTCATTGAAATAACAAACTATAAATGAATTTTACTTAGTGAAAACACTTTTACTGTTAAGTACTTATTTCGCAGTAAGCCGCCTGTCAGTAGCATATGCATCCTGTAAGAGCAGTGGTCTTCTAGATATCACACTGTTAAGTTCCTGTTCATTTGATGACTTAGGAAAAGCATCACACATTCCCAGCTTGGTGGGCAGTGGGTCTCAATCTTCCTAATGTTGTGACTCCTTTAATACAGTTCCTCATGTTGTGGTGACCCTCAGCCATAAAATCATTTTCATTGCTACTTCATAATTGTGATTTTGCTACTATTGTTAATTGTAGTGCCAATGTTTTTGGAGATAGAGGTTTGTTGTGGGGTTGTGACCTATAGGTTGAGAATCACTGTTGGTAGGTATGTGCCCAGTTTTGTTTTTTTGTTTGTTTGTTTTTGGTAAAAAAAAATAGTAATTAGGTGATTCCAAAAGTATGATCACATCTTCTGGTCATAACTCCTTAAAACCTAAAAATAGGTATATAGAGAAATTTCTAAAACATCTAAAGCATCGCATTCTTTGGACCATTGTGTTTTGTTTTTTCAATGAGTATTCTGTGGGCCTTATTTGAATGTCCAAATATTTTATGTTGATCATCTATAAATACAACTATCTAAAATTATTAAAGTTTTCAACCTAATATTAAATTACAAGTGTTTGTTTTCTTAGACTCTTCATAGTACAGAAGGCATCAGCTTTGGGTCCGCTTTTAGATGTTTGAGTCTATACCGTGCACTTGGCATTGGGGAATATCACTGAATATGCAAAATCCTTGTCTTCCTGGAGCTAGAAGGTACCCATATGCTAGCCTTTTACTTTCCATGAAACTGTGTTGAGCCTTTGTGTAGCAGCAAGAGCTCACTAAGTTAAAATCTTTCAGCGTCAGGCTAGATAATTGGAACTGAAGACCCTTTTTTTCTTTGCATTACTTCATTCCCCACTGGGAAACCTGGCAGCTGGTTTTGATCAGTGACCTTTGAGATTAAGTGACATTAGCCTTTGGATGTAAATGTGACCTTTTTTCCTACTCTGAGCTCATTCTCTCAATTTAGGCTTACCTGAGAAAGATTTGGCATAAGGAATGGCAAGGGCTTTGGTCATTTTTCCCGGTGAGGTTATGGTTAGGCTCACAGAGAACTTAACTGCATTGAATGAATTGAGCATGAGAAGTCTTCAAGACACAAAGGCTTGGAGCTGGAGTGATAGCTCTGCAGTTAGGATCACTAGCTGCTTTGCTCCTCCAGAGGACACAAGTTCAGTTCCTAGCACCCACATGATGGCTCACAATTGTCTGTAACTACTGTTCCAGGGGATACAAATAACACTCTACTGACCTCCGTAGACACCAGGCATGCATGTGGTACACATATCTACATGGCAGACAAAACACTTGTGGTGGTATGGAAGAAAATGGCTCAAAGGGAGTGGCACTATTAGAAGGTGTGGCTTTGTTGGAGATGTGGCACTGTGAGGATGGGCTTTGAGGTTTATTTTGCTCAAGCTTCCCTGTGTGTGACTTTCTGTTGCCTGCAAAATGTAACCCTCTCAGCTCCAGTACCACATCTGCCTGCACACAGCCATGTTCCCTGTCATGATAACAATGGACTCTCTGCAGCAGTAAGTTAGACACCCCAATTAAATATTTTCTTTAGAAGAATTGCTGTGGTCATGATGTCTCTTCACAGCAATAGAAAACCCTAAGACAACACTTATACATATAAATCTTACTTTAAATTTTCTGTAAACCTTCCTTCTATACCAATTTAATCAATAAAGCATTTGAAACACTGCTTTGTGTGGTTTTAAGTCAGAGGGATACTAAGACAAAGATGGCATTGTCTCTTAAAAAGCCAAAACGAAAGCTTAGCCTCACAATGTAAAATAAATCCATTGATCAAGTTGGGTTGAATTGTAAAGTTTTTTCCCGCCATGGTGTTAAATTTATGGATCATGAATTTGTTAACCATACTTTGGATTATTGCATTATCTTAGCCAAAGAGAATTAACAATTTTGAATACTTTGATCTTAATTTGACCTATGACTTTTTAAAAAACAGTTTGTCATTGTTTTTAAATTGGAATCACAAATACACCAAGTACATTAAGTCGGTAAATTAATATTTTTATAGAAGAAAAACTGATAGCTGAGTTTGAGAGAGAAAAAATAGATGAAACTTTGTGTACAGAAAATTGACCGTGTAACCAGTTTCCATCCTTTTTGATAAAATTTTTAGCCCTATCTAGATATTTTAACTTTTTGCCCTAACTTACTTGTAAACATTACCATGAATTTCACCTCTGTGTATAATGTAGAGCTGCTTAATGTGGCTAACTGGGTCTGGTCAGCTTTGTGCCTGCATCAGGACCCCTGTGTTGACTGTTGTTCCTGCCTGCACTACCCTGCTGCTCTATGCTCTATGCCATGAATGAAGTGTCTCTTCAGGGGCACTTAGCTACCTAGGCAAGGAGCCTATTCAACCAGTGGGATTAAAAAAACAAACAAAAAAACATCTGCTCAAATGGGACTCTTAGTAAACGGACCGCTGAGTGTTTATGGCAGCTTTAGTTTTTACTTTCGCAATAATAGATTCCTTTATTGTGATATCGTCCTCTCGATTCTGAAGTCTATGAGCGGCTTTTCCTAGCACATAAGGGACTCATTATTTTAGTAGTCTGTTCCAGAACTTAAGAAATATGAGACAGGGGCTGGAGAGATGGCTCAGTGGTTAAGAGCACCACCTGCTCTTCCAAAGGTCCTGAGTTCAATTCCCAGCAACCACATGGTGGCTCACAACCATCTGTAATGAGATCTGGTGCCCTCTTCTGGCCTGCAGGCAGAGTACTGAGAATACTGTATACATAATAAATAAATAAATCTAAAAAAAGTAAAAAAAAAAAAAAAAAAAAATATGAGACAGTTTTTATTTCTTTTGAAAGGTCCACCATTATGGTTAACATTAAAATGCATCATTTTGTATATTAAATATAGGTAGGTGTTTAATAAATTTTTAAAAATAATTTTATTCGTGAAATGATGTGGCCATTTTACCTTTGACTAATGGAACTTCACACTTATACAGGAAAAGTGGTAAGGGAAATTACTAGAAATCGTAGCCTCCCTAAAGTGGCAAGCAGCATTGAAGCTTCTCCAGAACTGTTTTATGATAGAAAACAAAGAACAAGACAAATTACTAAAGCTAAATATAGGCTTAGCATTCTCAGGGATGCTTCCAACTTAACCATCGTGATTAAAATCACAGACTAAGTCAAGAACGGACTCAGCTTGTGGCTCTGCCATGCAGCGTGAGCCCGTCATCTGACTGCTCTGAGCCTTAGTTTCCTGAGTCAAGAGCCTGTGTGCAGAGACCAAGTGAAGCTCTCAGAAGGGGCCCTGGCCCTGGATCTTGTTCAGGGCTCATAAGCATCAATTGCTCCATGGCTACTGTTAGACTGCCTGGCTTAGATGGACCAGCACAGTGGACCTATCTCATGACGAAAGTCTCAGAAGTTCTTAGCTAGGAAAAATATTGATGCCTACTACCTTACAATTCATTATTGACAGTCCTGGTTAAAATATGTTAGGGACTTCAGGAGAGGAAAGGGTTAAATTCTTAGCAAGTGTGTTAATGCATATTTCTATCATGCCGGTCCAGATGAGAGCATGCTTTGAAAGACTTCCAGATGTGAATGTGGGCCTTGAGAGCCAACAAAGTAAAATGTCATCGGTGTTCTCCGCGTCTCCTCCTGTTGAATGACAGCTGATAGTTTGTATTGCTGGCAGAGTGTCTAGAGCAGGGCTCTCTACAAGTGCACTATTAATAACACGCTGCTATCTGCGTCTTTATCACCCTCGCTCTTTGCCATTGCCCAAGTCTGACACCCACGAGTTCCACACAGGCCATGCCAGCCTGTGAATGAAGTAAGTGAAGAACCAACAAACCCACGGTGAAGGCTGCTCTAGCCTCCCCAGCAGCTAAGTAAGTGAGAATTCCCCTTCACTCATGTGCCTATTCTGTGTTTTCTGCATCTCTGACACAGGCCTCTTCCATGGGGGAGGACCTTAGGTAACTGGCAAGATTGCATATTAGGAAAAATATTTGTCCTCAAGCTTTTTTGAGTAAAAGGTAAAATGTATTTGTAATGTTTCTGTGCATGTATTTTAAAAGGTTATTTGTAATCTTATTATAACAATTCAAGAAAAATGAATTTTGCCGAGG